CCAAGGCGCACAGAACGCTGTTACCTTCCCACTGAAGTGGTACCTATTTATCTACTTGCAATTTCTTGCTTTCAAACTGCTAGGTTGGCAGGAGCTGGAACTAGAGACGGGAGCTCACTCCATCATGCGGCACCTGAGTCTCGAACTGCTGAACTACTGACCTTCCACAGCCTGCAGTTCAGCGTCTTAACCACTTGAGCCACCACAGCTCCAAAATGCAAATGACACAAGCCTAAATCCCACCGCCATCTGCGGTCATGGAACAACATAGAGTTAGAGTTCCCAGCTCCAGCACGGGAAATTCCTGGAGATGTGGAGGCAGTACCTGAGTAGAGCAGAGCTTGGGGAGGGAATTCAGTGGGAATGTGGTACGAGGAAGCCCACCCTTCAAAGCCGCCATTTCCTTCAGGGGAACTGATCTCTACAGTCTGGGAGAACTCCGGGCCTCACCTCGAGGCTGATAACTTGAAATCAGACTGCCAAATTCACTCTGCAGATATAAAATAATGGGGCTGCTCCCATGTTACTATTTCCCACTTCTTTGGGAGCACACCTGGGGCCTTGCATCACTCTGCCCTGCCTCTACCATGTTATTGAAATATGTTTATTTGAATATGGGATCCACCACATCAGACACAGGGAAGAATCCCACCACTCTGCTCAGCTAAGCGTGGAGCCTTCCTCTGTAGAAACAGCCTCTTCCACATTGTTTCGTTGAGCAGAGTGACGGGATATATAAGCCGGTTTTCCACCCAGGGTGCTAATTCCCCCACCTCCGTTATGTGACCTCCCATATTCTGTAAAATTAAGATACTTGCATCTTTGGGCACAAAACAATTTTTTAGCAGAGTCTGGAATGCATCTTCACATGTTCATAGCGACTAGGGGTCATTTCCTGCAGGAGCGCACAGAAGCGGAGCTCAAGCAGTAAAGTGCCCAAGGGGGCGGGCACATGCAAGAAGCCCCACCCCCTGCTCCCAGCAGCCCTCAGTCAGAGCAAGAAGCAGCCAGGTAAGCTGCAGAGCCCCCCCGGCCCCCCGGCCCAAAACAGTCCAGTGGCACCTTCAAGACCAAGTTTTATTCAGGTACAAGCTCTCCCTCCTCTGCGAGGACAGATCTGCATGTCCCCCCCCCAATAGCTAGCAATCCAAAACAGTCCAGTGGAGCCTGAGCGGTGGGAGTCGCCTATGCTTCTGACACAGCCCCGGTGATGTCAGGGGGTGTGGCATATGCAAATAAGCTATGCTAGTAAGTTATGCTAATCAGCTCCTGCACCACTTTTTCTACAAAATAACCCTTGATAGCGACCAAGGGAAATTGAAACACTACACCATAAAAGGGGGTGAGGGCATGGACTAGGAAACAGAAGGAAAAGGGCCTCCCTTCCCAAACCTCCCAATGCTTTCTAATAAAAACTGTCCACTTATTTCATTGCAGCCACAACAGCTAGAGCCACAGTAGGTACAATCACCAGTAGTTGCTTCTGTTACACATTCTATTAGTCATATGAGATAATGGTTATTCCCCTTCCATACTCTTTCAAAAGAGTAAATTAATTTCGATGGGGCTTATGAATGGGATGATCCTTGTGGTTTATGCTGGTGTAGTGGGGTTTGATTCCCCACGCCTCCACTTGCAGCTGCTGGATGACCTTGGGCAAGCCATAGTTCTGTCAGAGCTGTTCTCTCACGAACAGTTCTGGAAAGAGCTCTCTCCGCCCCGCCTACCTCACAGGGTGTCTGTTGTGGAGAGGGGAAGGAGTTTGTAAGCCGCTCTGAGACTCTTGAGTGAAGGACGGGGTATAAATCCAATCTCTTCTTCTTCATAGTTTCTCATGAGTTTACTGGTCAACTTCTGTGTGGATAATGAAAGCCACCCAAAGGCAAGGTGGAAGTCTCTACCTACTTGGGGGGACTCGTATGCAGAAAACTTAATCAAGTTAAAAAGGGGGAAAACCCTTATGATCCAAAAGGGATGGACTGTTGAGATCAACTGAGTATCATTTAAAGGAAAAGGGAAGGGAAAAGAGCCTGCTTGTGCCCTTGAGTGCTCAGAGAGGAATCCACCTGCACAAGTTTGTAAGGGCTCAGAAGCCCTCCCATAATTCCTTGCTAGCCCCTGCTTGTTACATGTATTTCAAAACTGAAAACGATTCTTGGGTTTCAGTAGAAATACCAGGAGTCTAAAGCTCAAGTATACATTCTCACATGTGGCACAGACCTGAAAACAAGCTAGAAGCTGCATGCTTGAAAGCTATCCAGCATAAAACTCCAGTGACATAAAAAGATAGGATGTCGGAGATTAAGCTAAATTAAGAACCTTTACTGTGGATATGATCAGGGAGTTTGACATGGGAAACTATTCAGACATGTAAGCCCCCTCTACTGAAATAGCAGGTATTGGAAGGCTATACCATGGGATACGTTTCAATGACCCTGTGACTGTACGACAGCCATGCTGGCTATTTTCCCACTCTGTTGCATAGCAGGCATACAGAAGATTCTTATGCCCGCTTGGATTGGAGAGTTGAATGTTGTTTTCAGGACAAGTGAAACTCACCTAGTGCACTTTGGCTGAACTTTTCAAAAACAGTATACAAAACCTAACAAAAGTCCGCATGGTCAAAGCAATGGTATTCCCAGTAGTCATGTATGGCTGTGAGAGTTGGACTATAAGGAAGGCCGAGCGCCGAAGAATAGATTCTTTTGAACTATGGTGCTGGAGGAGACTCTTGAGAGTCCCTTGGACTGCAAGAAGAACAAATCAGTCAATCCTCAAAGAAATCAACCCTGACTGTTCCCTGGAA